ACATATACACATATACATATACACATATATACACATATATACATACACACATATACATATACACATATATACACATATATACATATACACATATATATACATATACATACACACATATATATATACATATACATATACACATATATATATATACACATACATATACATATATACACATATATATACATATATACACATATATATACACACATATATATACATATATACACATATATATACACACATATATATACACATATATATATACACATMTATATATACACATATATATATATATATACACACATATATATATATATATACACACATATATATATATATACACACATATATATACACATATATATATATACACATATACACATATATATACACATATATATATACACATATACATATATATATGTACACATACATCTGTAATGGTCTGTAGTGAAAGACGTGCAGCGAGTGGGTGAATGGATACACTCCCTGCTCTCCTCTAGCTTTCTGCTCACGGGCCTTGAGAATGGCACTTCAACCACAACCAGCTGACCATGCAAACACCTCCAGTGTGAGTCTCTGAGACAGCATGGGCATAAAACATAAACAATAAATGTAATATGGTTGTACGATAAACATATCAGTACCACGCTCACCTCCCACTCCTCCCGTCTCCTCTTCAGCTGATCACATTTGCGCAGCTTGCAGATCTGCTTGCCCGTCTTGCGGTTCAGGCAGTTTGTGCAGCTACCGCAGTTCTCTTTGCGGAGGCAGGGAGTGCAGTCGCCACATTTCTTCCTCTTTCTTTTCTGCAGGTCGACGGGGGGCAGAGAGAAGAGCCCCGCTTGCTGGTGTTCAGTCTCAATGTATTTGCTGAGAGGAGACGTCTTCTCTGAGGATTTCCTGCGCTGGTGTGGGGACTGAGCCTCCTCCGCGTCCATGGAGAACGTATAAGTGTCCTCGGGTGGCGGACCAGGGCCTTCCCTTGGCCTGGGCATGGTTACTGTCCTCACCTATGTCTATTCTGTCTCTTAATTAGCAAGATTGAAAAACACAAATAAACACACCGGAAGTTTTAAAAAAATGGAGCTAAAAGTCAACACCTTCCAAATATACAATGAATATTTGGCTGCACTTGGTGGAAGTTTGTCTGGTCTTAAAAACAATGTTTGGCAGGTAGATAACTTGTCTCGGATCAGTCTGTGCTGTTGACTATACCCAATCCATTTGACTCTGTGGACTGTCACCAAATAAAGTTAGCGTTTATCTTGTCTTGTAGTCGAGCCCTCCAGGGACAGCTTGATTGTCATCGTGTGTTCTTGGTCACCCGGGTGGCCCTGGAGAATCCTGCTTGTAACTTGCAGTATGGAGACCATCTTTCCCAGCTACCCTTTGGGATGGTAGACGGTCCACGAAAGTCTGGGTAGCATAGCTGGAGCCTGGGGAGTCATGGCGGCGTCTGCACAGGCTGAGCGCAGTCTGTAAAGACAAAGGGATGAAACAAAAAATGTCCAAAATAAAGTATTCATACATATTTCTTTTCAACACAATTTTTCTGAGTGCATTTAAAGGGTATATGTTTTTGATATACCCCCCCCGACAACAGATTTCTTTCTATGCCACTTCCCGGTGTGAGCGTGTACCATAGCTTGTATGTCCGTGGAAGAGTGTGTGGATATGTGTCTTTATTGGCAGATTTCTACATTATTTGCTCATTTAGATTATACCCATCAAATACATTTGGTTCGTTTGTTGGGTTAGTTAAATATGCATATCTTTGTCCACTTCAGGCCTCAGGGTAAGCGTGTTCTATGGCCATTTTTCTAAGACTACGTGATTAAGAAAGGCCGATAAGATTGGAGGCACTTACAGGGAAAACCCCTCATGTGTCCATTACAAAGGTAATAACATCAACTAAGAATTAAAGATGAAGCAAATTTGAAAACTCACACAATGGACTATTTAAGGCAATAGTTTACTGATTTATCATTTATCAGATTGACTAAATATTATCTGGATGTACTTTAAATGGCGTAACTGGCTGTGATAATACGAGATGCTTTTGCCTTAGAGTTCAGTCTGACGCCGCTGATCGCTGTCTGAATACTGTCTGGTTTCCAAACACAGCTGTCAGTGCTGTGCATGCAGTTGGCTCATAGCCATGCAGGCCTACGTGAGCAGTTTGAGAAGATAGTGTTTTAATGGCAGAGCCCACATGGACGGGAGGCTTATGTCTCCCTGAATGAAAGACGGGGGGGGTGATAAGTCGATGCCAGGGACAGTCCTCTTTGTCTCGTGGTCACACGCTCCAGTCAACCGTCAATAAAGTGAATTGTGCTCAGAAAACCCGATGTTTCTTTGCTACTGCCTGGTTTTACAGCCTGCACTGAAGATTTCTCTTTTTTTTGGTCAACAGCAATGCAGAGGAGGGCAAAATCCACTGTAAAATATGAAGGCTACTTTAATTTACTTTGGCTGCATTAACATGCATTTAAAATGAACATGGGTTTAAACATGTAAACCTTGCCGCTCTGGCGGGAAAATCACGAGTTGGTTTATGTTGCAGTTGAATTAACTGTTGCTGTTTGTGGTTGTTTTGCTTTCTGATGAAATGAGCAAAACTGCAACTTTGTAAAAGAATAAATAAAGGAGACTTATTCAAACAAATAATCTCCCCTAAACGCTGGGATTAAACAAAACGTGTTACACCAGCTAACGTTAACATTTTAACTTCTCACATTAGCTTGTTTGCAGCTTTGCTAGTAAGCTAACGTTAATGTGCGACCTGTTTCAACAATTAGCAGGATAGCACTTTTGCCTCATGACCTTAATGTTGTTTGTTTGTAAGTTACATGTAAGTATCACTTATCTTACCAAATTTACCAAATGGGGGTCCATGGTATAAAGCTAGCTTATTTAAATATGAAATTTCAGCAGTTCCTAGACCTTTTCACTACCACACTGCTTCAATTAAAAGGTAACCTTTTAACCACAGGTAAAGTAACGTCAGCTAATGAAATGTCTGACACGTGTATGTTCCCATTTGTCCCTTCACTGCGTGGCTAATTGCACCACTAAACTTCAGCTAACGTTATCTAAAGGCAATTGACATTGCCTAGTAACAGCACGCGCTCTGCCGGCTCCGCACGTGGTGTAATCGCGTGGCAGTAGTGTAAACGAGCTCCCCTCTGCCTCTGTTGTGACTTTTACAGTATGTCCACGTGGTTACCCACCGGGAACTTCTAAAACGTCGCGAGGTGAGCCCGGCCAGGCCACAACAATCAACAGCAATCAGATAAAAGATTACATTAAGATAATCCTCATTAAAGCAGAATACACAAAACACATCAGGGCTGCGAGGACACGGGGATAATTGTTGACAAATAGGTGACAAAAACAGCACTTCAACCAGGTGTTGAATACACACTTTAATTTACATCCACGTGACAATCCTCGCGCTATTGCAGAGGCGTCTCTCGGTGGGTGTCCTATACCTCAGATGGCCACCAAGAAAAGTCTTCATATTCATATTTTAGTAAAAGAATTAATGATGTCATCCATAAATAACACCTTTACTTAACTTACAGCTGTTTGATATTAAAGGCCAATGGCTAAATAATGCTGCTCGGAGACTTTTGTTACTTAAAGTTGTGCAAACAAATAAAGAAACGTGGGGCAATATTCGACTCAATATCCATGTCTGCAAAAAAGACATTCATAATATTCACAAGGAAGAGAAACGACGTACCACCCGCGATGAGTGCGGTCTTTAAATGCTTCGATATTCCTCTCAGCTTCAGCCTTCAACCTGCTTTGCAAAACGAAAGTAAATTATAAAAATGTAACAAAAGTACCTGCACGGCACAACAACACAAACGGAGAGCTAGAAATGTGCACATTTCCACTCGTGCACCAAAGTGGAGACGACGGGGTAAAAAGTTCTACCATAGTGACATAACTGGTCAATTGAGCCAGAGGTGAGAGAGGGAGGGAGGGAGAGAGAGAGAGAGAGAGAGAGCTCGTATCTTTTGGGGGGGGGGTCAAGTCATCAGTAAATTATGGAGTGGAGTCCTGCCAGCTGGATCTGAGGGTGGGGTTAGGGTGGGGTTTTGGGGGGGTAATTATTTAAAACTGCTCTTAAGATGTTGAAATTGCATTTTCTATTTGGTTTAAGAACAGGTAAATAAGATTCCTGTGATGTCACGCATGGGGTCTGACCCAGATGTTGCGACATCGTGAAGGGAATGAGGATCAGGACCTCAATGAGCATCAGGACCTCTTTAGGTCTGAAGTCCCGTCTCCCTCCTGCACAGATGTGGGTTTCCATGCTCCACTCAGGAAAAGGGGGAGCAGCTGTGGAAGTGAAAAAGATGGAGGTTTAGATGAAGACATAAGTGCCTGTGTACATTACACAATGAAGAACAAGAGATAGAGACCAGACAGCCAAAAACACTAATTGTTATTAATATAGTCAAACGTTATCATTAAAAAAAACAATTTTTCAGCCATCACTAATCTAACAAAAGGTTGTATATAGTTCCCCACATTATAGCTGAAATATATTCCCTTTTATATTCATATAATGAGAGTTCAGTTAAGAACCTGTTGTAAGTCAGTGTGTATAAAGTTTAGTCAGAACGAAATAGAAACAATTGTGGTTTCACTTGTCTGGTAATTACGGCTGCACTACAGTTTCCCGATGGCGTATTCAATCATAACTCTCAGATGGGGGTCCTCCACCACAAGGTATGAGGCTCACAGCCCGCTTTGCATCCATCTGTAGTTCTTTGACCAGGAAACGTTTTGTGTTTCATCTCACGATGACTCCTCAGACATTTACAGGAAGTAATAACACATGACATTAAGCTCAAAACATGACATTAGTCTATGCCTAAAAACTATAAAAAAAATTATACATTAAATTGCTATTATGAATGTTCATTAAAAATGTTGCTTCACAATAGCATCACAAACATTGAATAATTATTAACACTCAGTTTTCACACATCAAATCTTTATTGTTTTCACCAGTGTAACTCTCCATTGGAGGCTGTTGAACAAACACAAACAAAACTGTAAACACAAAATGCAAACCATCAACATTTCTTCTGAGGTGCCTGGCCATTACACCACAATACAGATTTTAATATATTCCGTCTGTTTTGATTAGATATTAAGATGCACCGAGAAAATAATTTTGGATCATTTGGACCACATTAACGGGATTACAAATATTAATTCTTTGCCACGTTTCTGTATGTTGAGAACAAAACCTGATACTGTTTGGTCATAAAATGGTAAAATGACAAGCTGCTGTAGAGTTAAAGCTTTGAGGAAGAATTGAATGTCAGTATGCAGAAACAACAAACACTGTGAGACACTACTTTAGCAAACAGATCCTTTGTTTTGATTCATAAATAATAATAAAAACAGGTGAACTTGTACCCAAAATTCTCTCAGAATCCGTCATAGTAATAAATAGATAAAACCGCTCCAGTGGCTCTACATCCATCTCACTTTGCTTTAAAGAGGAAACGTTAGTACCAGCAGATTGAGGACGGTTCCACATGTCAGTGGGTGGACTCCAGTGCTGCAGACAGAATGATCAAAGTACTGAGACGAGGAGGAGAAAGCTCAAGAACAGAGCAAACAGAAGACAGGACAGCAATGAAATACAGTGATATCAGTGTCTGTTGGTAGGTTGCGATGACGACTCTTTAATAAGGATCAGAGAAAAGTAGCGCAGGACCAAGATCTATTCAATTTAGGAACAAGTTTTGTGATATAATATAGCTTCTTTTAATCAATTGTTGAGGTCCTTTGACGTGGAAAAACACAGAGCTTCTGCCATTCCATACAGCTCACACTATCTTATATATTAAAGGAGAAGCTCTATTTTAATATAGTATTGGTCCAACATCCAATATCTCTGGTTTGGAGTGTGAAAACAGTCACGAGCGCACATCTTTCCAGACAAACATGCCACAGACGATACCGTGTGGAGAGGTGCAGCAGCACAGCATCAGATGTTGGCCTGTTGATACTGAAAGAGTTTGAAATGTTTGAACCTGATGAAGGCCGTATTAACACAAACGTCTCATGTAACTGGGTTTTGATTTGGGCTCAAGATTAGAATCATGAGTGGAAACGTAAATGGAGGTGAGTTGTGTTGGGCCTGAGGTTCACACTCGCTCGACGCTCTCACTGGTCCGTTCTTAACCGCTACATGGAGCCTCCTTTTTTGTTAAATCCTGAAATGCATATACACAGGGAATGTACCAACTCCCCCTTTCCCCCGTCGCATCGCCCCCCTCAGTCTCCAGGTGGTTTGGTCCAGTGGTCACAGAGCAGTAGTCTTTATGTCCGCACCTGAAACTTGCCGGCCTTCGTCATGTATTTGATGCCTTTAAAAGGTTTATACTTCTCACCGTACATGTCCAGTCGATTCACCTTCAGCCCTGTTGGAGGGAAATAAATATGATTTTTTTTCTCCATTTACATTTCACAACACAAACTTTGTGCACCTTACTTGTGTTACTGGACAAGAGCAAACACCGGCACCAAAACAAATGTGATTTGAATGTTTGAGGACGGTGGGAGGCTGATTTATGGACCTGTTTAGGCTACAACTACTACAGAACTCAGATCAGTACGACAGCTTCGGGCATCTAATTGTCCTATAAAGATATACCTGAAACCTGAAATATTAAAAAGATGATTTAGTTTAGTTTGTTTTATACTATCAACTGTTCTGAAGGCATTTCCAGAATCCTTAACCATTGTGCATCCCTTTAGTCCTGATTATAACCACCAAATATACATTATTTTCAAAATGTTAACCCTTTAAATTCGTTAACGTTTGTTTACGTAATGCCGCTGAAAAAAATGAATTATTTTCTGTATACTAAATACAACATTCATTTTGATGCATTTTATTTTTTATGTTTTAAAAAACTTAGAGGACATAAATGTTCCATTCCTAAAAATATAATATAAAATACTATACATTAATCAGACTTAACTACCAAATATTTGACACCTTTCACAATATTAACCCTTTAAATGTTTACATATTAACTGTTGTCTTTGAAGACATCAAACACAAAAGTGTAATTATGTTCTGTATACTAAATGAGACGTTTTATACACGTCAATTATGATCAACAACATTGATTTTGATGCATTGCATCAAACACTGCAGTGCTCCACAGTACAGCAGCAACAGCCCTAGTGGTGAGCAGGGAAACAACAGGTGTGAGGAAACAGCTCAATCTGGTGGAGAACAGTAAAAACTACAAGTTTGAAGTCAGGCTCTAGATTAAAAGTCTGACACAACAGAATGCTTCATTTTATGCTGTAATGGCCGTGGGATAACAACTTGTTTCAATGGGAATATTTTGAGTGTTTGTATTTTGGCTATACAGTTTATTATAGACTTAATATAGGAGCTGAGGTTGAATTTCCAACATTTTATTTTAAAGAGACAAAAATGTCCCCTGTGATGCACAAGGGTTAAAGACTCCGAACCTTCTGGACCGAGAAATATTTTGTCTGCTGAAAATGATGCATGCATATTGTTGAATTAGCCTTTTTAATCCCAAAATATTGCTTTGCATATTACCTTGAATCCTGTACAGAGTAATGGCATGCTGGGTAATAAGTCTAACTAAACCACATCAGTCCAATCATATACTAATACATGTTAATACATTCAGTTAACAACAATGAATACAATGAGTACTTCGATCTGCCTACAGAGTACTCTCTGATGTCATGTGAGGAGGCATATTTATGTATTTGGCACCACCTAGTGGGCAGTGTGTCACTGTGCTCACAGTCAGGTGGTTGTCAGCTGAGCCGGCCGTGTGATGAAAGCTTGAGGTCAAATATTTCTCAATGCAAAATATAAAAACATGACTAACTCACTGAAACTGGCCGCTGTGTGGGACAGTCTAGCAGGATTGTAAACGTGATATTTCACAGAGAAAGGTGATGATGGTGAGACTAAATGTGTGAGTGTGTACCTGAGATGGCCATCTGTTGGATCTTCAGCTGGATGTTGATAGTGGGGTTCTCGTCAGGTTTGGAGGCCCCGGCCTGCAGGCTCATGGTGCCTTTGAGACTGGGAAGCTTCTGTGGGTTGATCTTGCCGACATCCCATGTCAACATCTAGCCAAAAAAACAAAACATTTAGATGCCAATGTGGGATCACTACAGCGCATCAAATCAAATGGTGGCACCGTTGAACCTGGAGAGGATCGCTGTAAATTAACATGATTTACAGAGATATACACATTCCTGTCCATGCACACTTCCCTTCTTCCTTCTTTCAGGCATAACAAACACACTCAGACACAGTTTTGAGGTACCTTTGTGACTGGATCAAAGGTGTGCGTTCCCTGGGAGGAGTTGAGGTTGGCGTTCAGGACGCCCCGGGGCAGCTGGCTGCTGACTAGGACCGCCTCCACGGACTTGCCCATGGTCTGTTTGGGCCCCAGGGTCAGGTCAAAGCGTCCCTGGGAGCTTCCCTCTCGGAAGCTGATGTTGTGCTTGACGTACACCGGGATCGCCACCAGGCTGAAGTAGAGGCAGGCCAACAAACAACATCATAGTGGAATACATTTTATACATACCGTATTTTGGCAACTCTTGAAAAAATGTGTCTTTGCCATTAAGAAACTTAAAATGATCCTGGATGAAAAAGTACTGACTTCTGAGAGCTGACGTGGTAGGAGAGCAACCGGAAGTTTCCATCCGGGGGAATGAAGGAGAGGATCCGCTCAGCTTCCCAGCGCTTGAACCGAACACACGGGTGGAAGCTGACGTCATCCAGCAGCCGAGGATTCTGGGAGAGAGGGGCAGAGGGATGGTTTGGGGAGAAGTAAAAAGAAAAATGTGCATGCTCGAAATTACACGAGAGGCTTGGAACTCACCATAAATGAGAGAGTGAGGTCGGGCATGCCTGTCAGTTTTACACAGGCGTCAATAACTCCCTGAATTTCTGCTGTAATAGTGGAGCCTGAGGAGGGGAGGGGAGGGGGGGGGGGGTTGATATAAGATATTTACAGAGAGCAAAAAACATAGAAATTAACAACAAAATCAATTTGATGCAGACACTATTAATTGTGGAGTAAAGCTGCTGATACTCTGTGCTATTGTCCAATATGGAAATAAACAGAATTTTCTTAATATATGCAAATTAATATAAATGAAGCAATGGCAGAGTGTGTTGTTTGACAGGCAGGATGTTCAGAGCAAATACCCGATTTATCGATGATGGCGTCGATCTCCTCCACCACGTCAAAATAGGCTTCGTTGTTGGTGTATTTGACTCCGGTGCGTCGCCACGGCACCACTGACAGCTGGCCTGTGGGGAGCTGTTCACCGACATTGGTGCTGCCTGAAAAACAGACGTCAATGTAAAATAATAATAAAAGAAGTGCTTTTACACCAGAGTCCATTCACACAGGTTGTTGCAATAGTTCTGCCAGAACTAATCAGAAAATAAGCCATACTCGGCATGTTTCTAGGGATAAAATGTTTAATAAATGTTTAATAACTGATGCTATGAATGATCCATGAACAACCCTCTCTGTAAGAACCTTCAGGTTGTAGATAAGAATGAAACTGCAACGTTTGGTTTATGTATTTACTACTGAAGAAGAGATTTATCGCTCGGAGTGAGAAAAAAACTAATTTTGAGAAACGAGCCTTTAAAGATATGTTTTATGAAATTCCATTCATTCTGAAACACACTACAGGTGAATAGGGTAACAAAAAGACTAATAGATATCACCATGAGACTTCCCCAGTTGATTACGTACATTAAGAGAATTATATTTCTGTATTTATGTTATGTTAATAGAACACCTTATGTTCTGAACTTCAGTTATCCGGACTAATTTGTCCAGCACACATTATATCTGACATCACTATCATTGTTTGACGTAATGCTCGGACTGTTTAGAGGACTACTAAATGTTTAAAGTGTTTTTACAGGCCCTGTGCTCAACATGAATATGGATTGTACCTGTGATGGTGTTGACCATCGTGCGGAGGATGGTGGGAGGCTTTATGAGCTCTTTTAGGATGTTGGACTCTGTGGCCAGCGGAAAGCCGTTGTCCAGCATCTCCTCCAGCAGCTCGTAGACCACCACCACGTTGTCCTTGATAGCAGCCTCTGTACACACTCCAAAATAGTCCTGAGAAGAAAAACAACAGGATATGGGTATTTAAAATCAGATATGAATTATTTAGCTAAACTAACCGCTAAAAGTGGAACTGGGAGTCCAAACCTGGAACGTGTCAACGACTCTGTGCAGAAACTCGATGACGAAGAGCGGCGGCACTTCACTCTGGATGACGGCAACAAAGTAGATGCGATGCCTGAGCACGCTGATAAGGTAGTGGTGCGGCGTGGGGATCACCGGTGGGACGTTCTCCGGCTCGGAGGCGCGTTCCTGCGCCTCAAAGAAGTAGTCGCACACGGAGCGGCTGACCACGCTCTTCCAGTGCTTCTCCAGGAAAATGTCTCCGGAGGAGTTGACTAGGAACAGGCTGTGGATCATGTTGGCTGGAGGCTGAGAGGCTAACGAAGAACAAAAAGAAGAGAAAACCAAAGCAGTTCAAATTAGAGAATGTTGAGATAAAGTTAAATATATGGTAAGAAAGTGCTTACAGAATTAAGGGTTAGGGTTAAGCTTCTAGCAAAGAAGGGGCTAGTAATGTCTGACATGCAGATATTTTGACTGTCATTGTAGGCAAAGCACAGGTGTTACTAATAACATTAACGACAGCTCTGTTTAATGTAAGTGTCCCAGTGAGGCAGCCTGCATTCTACCAAGAGCCTGAAACAGAAGCAGCTACATCCAATTCAGCCATGAACAGTTTTATCAGTTACACCTGTGCTTTTCCTGCTTTAAGATGACAGAATGGCTTCTATGAAAAAGACCTGTTGTCTGTATTTTCATACCTGCAAACTCATAAGAGGTGAAGAAGGTGACAAGCACCCGAACCCGAAACCCTGTCGGGGGGTGCGGGGGGGATGCTCCCCGGGAGAATTTTATTTTAAATATGAGCTTTAAAATGTAGCACTCTGGTGTTACTCTGAGAAGAAAATTAAGTGATAAGACATTTACTTTAAGCAAAAAACTAATGTATTATTCAGTGATTAATCAGTAGTTCAGCTCTAGTTGAACAGCTGGCTAGTTAGCTTCTCTTTCTTTTTTTTTTTTCAATCAATATTATTTAGACAAAATCCATTGAGACCGAGGTCTCATTTTCAAAAGTTTTAATTTAATAAAGTGAATCAGTGTCATAGTTATGAATGTAAACAAACATTGAAAAACAAAGCAGTGTGTGCCAAAAAGATGAGGCACGCGCGCACACACACACACACACACACACACACACACGCACAAACACGCACAAACACAATAATTGCCAATGGCTGTGCCACCAGTCACACAATCACTGTTTTGAATGGAGGCTCCATACACATCATGAAGCCCATTTGTGTTGATTTTGTGCACGTGATTAACTCCTATTAATAGTAAAAACAACTTTTAAAGCATTATGAACATTTCATAATGAGTCTCCAAACAATAATGTTCGACAATCTTTGAACAGGACCTAAACTTTAAAACGTACAATATAACCCAACTCAGTCTGTATTCTATCAAGTGTTGGGTCCAAAATGAAATGAATATCAACAATAAGTCCACGCCCACTGTTGTAAAGACAGCCCTTCCTCCCCTCACATGACACGTTGGTGGTCATACTGTGCGCTTCAGCTAGCTTCAGTACCACATACTCAAATGGGCCGTGTGCATAATGTAGGTAACTGTTATACTATGTAAATAATGTAAAGTGTAATGGGTCAATTTAACAGTGATGTAAAATAAACGTTAAAAAAAGTGTTTTGCATACTGCTCTCTCCATACGGTGGCAACTAGTTACGTTTCAAGATTTAACTTTAACTAATACAGGACTATTTAGTTGACGTTAAGTCTTCTTTACGTCAACTTCAGGTTTGCTGGGAAATATGACACCGGAGTATTCATTAAATATGCGTCAACGCTATCAAGTTCGGACACGGATGAAACTCAGCGCCACGAGAACCTGAATATATTTCAGCTACATACATTTACTACAACCATAAGACATTTGAACGAGTAACTATCTAACTAACGTGCCTCTATTGAATAGCAATGTAAGGCCTCCGTCTCCACACAAGATGCTACATCAGTACCTCCTCCTGCCTCTCAGTCTCATGACAGACGAAAAGCCCCGTCACCCAGTAAAGGGGAGGAAATACTTTAAAATAACGATGCTGATTTAACTGAACACGTACCTCTTACCACTCGGGGCAATCAATAAAATACGAATGACTTACCGAAGACAGTTATTAACGTTTTCGTCTCGCCTTTCGCCCTTTTTTTCCCCAATGAAAGATTAAGCAGCCGTCGTCGCTTCCCGTTAGGTGGAAAAAGCTCTCAAAGCGAGTAAGGATACAGTACAGCGAGCCAATCAGAATCAAGAGAAACTATAAATTCCCGCCCACGTAATGGTGTGATAGGTCAACAATACGGAAGCTGTTAGCTCGTGACTTGGCTGTGATTGGACCGCGGAGGGAGAGCTACAGTAAACACCAGTAAAGCTGCTCGCTGATTGGCCGTTAGATGTAGCTGGTCTGACATTTTGTTTCCAGTATCAGATTTCATCTTGAGGCGTTAAGTCTCCATTCAAACACTATAGATATGGTTTATATACAACTTCGCTGACAATAACACTGTCAAAATGCGTTCCCAGTAATCTGTGGCATAAAATTAATTAGACATCTTATATTTGTTGTGTACATAGCAAATCTAATTATACATTTCACCCCCTAAACAAGGTTAAAATGAAATAGCAATACTTTGGGATGCTGATGCTAGAGTTATATTTATTTATGACTGATAACAAAACCCATATTGAGCATTTTTCTTGTTGGTGACTTTTGTAATTGTTGTGTAAAGATGACAGCATATTATTTGAACATATAAAGACACGGCATGTAGATGAAACATGGAGCTTGTGTTCTATTCAATTTCTAAAAGTACCATATTTCAAACATACTGTACAAAGCAGTGGTTCCTTAAGGGTGTCTTCTGCACAGTATATTGAATATACGTAAACATTATAAATAGTATGAACTGTATATGTTGTTTTGTAAGCTTCAGCCTTTAACAATGTGTCGCCTGATGGGATTCAAAAGCAGCAAACAAGCATCAAGTAGTGAGATTTTCTTCACAAACAGAACACATGGAGGGATGAAAACTATAGGTTCACACAGTGAATAAAATTCCCTTTTCTCATAGTCCCCAGTTCCACCTTCTTTCCAAGTGCAGCTCACAAAGTTTAAATACACATGCAAACAATGAAGTGGTGAGAAATCCTACCCTCAGTGTCAATAAGTCAAACCATTGCAGTAAATGTTAGTGAAACTAAAGAGCAGACATGTAAACCAAAATAATAAGCTATCAGAGATCTGCCTTATCCATCTGATACGATCATAAAGAACCTCTTGATGAAGCGAGTACTTTGAGTTGCTGTCGTGATCCAATCATTAAACAGTTTGGGGACCTCATATATTCTGCAAAAGTAATTATTGTCCAAAATGGAAATATGTTCCAATAAGTCATTGAACGACTTGTTTGCTTCTCACAATGTGTTTTTTTTTTGAAAATACGTTCAGAAGAAAACATTTAGCTACACTGTGCAATCAAACAACACCTTCAGTAAATCAGTAGAGTGTGCCGACGTCAGCGACTTGATAATTGAGCTTTTACAACACAGATCTGAAAAGTGTGACTCCTGTGTTCAGAGATATGACTTTGAAAGTGAGACCATACTGTTCACAACCCAGCAAAATTCAAGGAGGCAGCCTGTGTATTTATATTTTGTTGAAGACTTATGGATGCTAGGAGAGAACACTGTCATTTCCACATCAATACCTTTTAAACATGCCATGCTCACGCTCTTTGGGGACATCTAGTGGACACAAGTGGTCAAAGCAAATTCATAAATGTCCAAAAGTCCACTATAAATGTTCGCCAACAATGGAGTAAAATGTGTATTTAAATAGATGTAATAAATCTTGTCGCTATGTTTTGCAGGACTAGTGCCTGACGCCACTAACCTGTCTGACATATGCAAGGTTTTTGTCGTCTACCTAATGTGTAAAACAAATATTTAAAAAAAGTATAATATAATTAAAGCATCTTAGTTCCTTTGGAGTAAATCTGGAAGTAGCACTTAAAAAGCTCAGGGAAAACATGAATGGCTCAACATAATTTATTTTCATTTTATGTTAAAATGTACAGAGTTCTTTGAAAGTACTTGCTAAGAAAGAAAGAAAAAAAAACAAAAAAAAAACAGAATAAATGGAAATACATACAAGGACAGAGTTGAGAGTTGAGGCCGCTGAGCGCAATGCAACCATCACCGTGTGCCCAGCTGTCCCTCCTCTCTGTATTCCGCGCTCTCTTAGCATACAACGCAACATGTACAATTACAAAGGATACAAAAAGGGAAGCGATATAAACAGACAGAAATATACTGAGCTCCTTTTTACATGCCTCTTAAATGTAAGGAAGTCATCCTATACACACACAAGTAAAAAAAGAAAAGAATGCCAAGTGACCTTTAGATATTTGTAGTCCTTTTTATTTAAAATAGCATTAATAGAACTACACAAAGATAGAAAAACTCTAGAGATGAGATGGAATGGAGAGGTTAAAGGCATCTTAAAGTCACTAAAAGTGAGTGGTAATTTTTTGTAAATTTTGAATTTCTTAGTAATTATTACCCGAAGAGGCGAGCTAAAAAATATGTATTTTTTTTTTTTTTTCCTGTAACAGAAGTGAAAAAAATGACAGTACCAATATCAATGTCAGAGTTTCCTTTTTATATTATAGAAAAAACATTTTCTCTACAATAAGTTTTCTAAAGTCAAAAAGAGTCAGCTCGTGTCATAAAAGAAAGCTGCCCAGTCTGATAAAATTCAGAAACAAACAAACAAAAACAACATAAGTACAGAAGAGAACAAATACACACAAATAAAGTATGCAATGTCGGGTCTGTAAGAAAATGAAAACTCCTCTTTTGACTTTGAATACTGGTACATGGAGCAACCGCTTCGCAGAACCTCGAACTCGTTCTCCCCTTCGACCCTGCTTTCATGTGAGTGTGCCTCTACGCGAGGGCCAAACCATGCACTAGATCAGGCGTTCAGGCACACCTTTTACAAAGGATGGCCGTCGACTGCCGCATCTCTAGCCAATGGAAGTGCAGAATTTTGCAGAAAAGGAAGAAACAGTTTTAAACAGAACTACACCATTCAGAAGCAGACTCCTGGACCCTCTTTCAGTCACTAACACTTAAGAGACGTCAGCTGTAGCTAACCGACTTTCCTTTGAGCAGTCAGATGGAGATGGCACTGTTTGTTCTGCATTCCCTAAACTGCTTTCAAAAAAAAAAAAAAGGCTGACATAGTACACCGTCTGTCAGTGGAGTGTGGACAAGAACAGCTTAATGTTGTACTTTCCTGAGCTAGCCACCGTTTGGCGATAGCTAGCCAGCGTCTGCGTGTTTGTAGGTGCGGGTGTGTGTGTGTGTGTGAGCTTGATATTGGGAAGTATCAGAATATTTACATCTTTAACGTTTTCAGTGTGGCGGCAAACTGGAAAATAATGCTACTTTGTTTTTCGTTGATGGACAGCGACGCGCTCGTCTCTTCTGTGTCTTCGCTGTTTTGTTTTTTTTGGTACAAGGTCCCTCCGGGAAGACAGAGACTCTGGAAACAGCTCAAGGCCCCGGCGCTCCCACGCTGTTCTGGAACCAGGTGGAAAGCCGCAGAGATGTTCGGGTATTTCTGAGAGAGCAAAGACGGCGCATCACCGTTTCAGAATGCCACACATATAAAGACCAAAGCATATAAGAGGTCGGACTGCACACGAGTATTTCAAAAACAATCAACAAAAACAACAACAAAAATAAGATTCAACTTTATGTTTAACAAAACAATAGTCTGCCTGCAATGTTTCATTGTCTCTTTTTCAAGGTAAGGCTCCCTATATCACTTAAAAGATTGTGTGCATGGTTGAATATATTCAGTTAACCACTGTTCTTCACTCGCGGTCTGACGAAGTGAGGTACTCCTGTATTGTCCTTCTCTGTGTGTCGTTCTCGTCATTCTTTGTCCCCTCCTCTCCTAATGCGCATCGTGGGGACGAGGAGCCCCGCTGTGTAAAATCACATTACAGAGGACTGTGCAGGCCTGGCCTAAAGCAGCACGGCAGAGGTCCATGTACACACACAACCCCCCCCCCCCCCCCCCACGACCCCCCCCCCCCCCCCCCCCCCCCAACCCGGAACCCCACTTGTTCCCATACACAACCACCTGGGAGGGGAAACGAGCCCAAATTTTTAAAAAAAGGGACAAAATGACAACACAGAAAAGCAGGAAACCCAAAGACCCTCTCTGTCTCCAACCACCGACTCTCCCTGGTGCCTGCCGCAGCACTGGAGAGGGTGAACAGGAGTAATGGACATTTGGAGTACAGCGAGTATCAGCTCTGGCCTCATGTCTCCTTTCTCAGTTCCTCGGCTGTTCATCTGCTCATGTACGGTGACTGTTTAGGGACACCAGCATAGCTGTGATGGGCGGGGCCAGTGTACATCATGTTGCCGTGGTGGTTGGGCTGCATAGGCTGCTGCGGGTAACCCTGCCCTCCCATCATGCCCATCTGCATCTGCATGGGGTACTGAGCTGGCTGATTCATGTAAGGGGGATTGCCGTGATAACCACTGTTCATCATGGGTTGAGGCATTCTGTAACCGGCCGACATGGCGTTGAGGGGCGTCATGTTCATGGAGTTGTACTGCGCTGGCGTGGGCATGAGGTTCGGCATCATGCCGCGCTGCACGGCCAAGGTGCGCGACGTGCCCTGCATGGCCACGGCCCCCGAGCTGCGGCCGTAGAGCTGCTGCTGGTGCGGGGCCGGGGCCAGCTGCTGGGTGGCTTTGGACCGGATGGAAATATGGCCTTTGACTGTCGCCATCTGGCCCTGTAGCCGCTGCGTGTGTGGCGGGGGTCCCAGACCGATGTTGGCAGTGGGCATGTTGCATTGTAGCTGCAGGGAGCCCAGGTTCATGGTGCCGGAGCTAAGGTTGGGGGGCGGGGTCATAGTGGGCTGGCCCTGAGGAGTGTGGGGGGAAGGGGCCAGCCCCGGGTTGGAGAGAGAAACACTGGTGGCGTAGGAGGTGACAGAGGCGGAATGAGAGTAGGGCATTGCGTGGGGGTCCATGATGGTGTTGGTGAGTTGTTGGAGTTTGGCCAGGCTGAAGGTTGCTGAGGGCTGAGGGTAGCCCCCCGTGCCAAAGTCCTGACCCATGCGCTCGTACAGGGTGCGGCCCCCTCCTCCACTCTCGGGGATCTCCATTATCATGGGTGTGGAGGCGAAGCCGTTGCCCATGCTACACTGCGACAGGGCCTGCTGCTGCTGTTGTTGCTGTGGTGGTGGTGCTGACGGCGGAGGCTGAGGGTTGGGGGCTTGTTGCTGAGGAACCTTTTTTTGGGACTGCTGCTGCTGCTGCTGTTGTTGTTGTTGCTGGTTGGTGCTGGGGGGCCTCTCGATCACACCACAGCTCTGAGGAGACTTAATGCCACAGCCGGGGGTGTTAGACCGTGGTGGGGGTGGGGGTGGCTGGACTACAGCACTGCCTACATTACTGGCACCTGGTCCGCTGTTGGGCCCTGGCCCCGTTTGCTGGATGAGGCCACAGTTGCCCATCCCTAGTTGGGACCCTCCTGTTCCTGTGGAGGACGTGAGGCTGGGGGCTGGCACGAAAGAGCAGCTGTTAGACTGCGAGGACGGGGTGGCCGAGCTTGAAGAAGAGGAGGCCGACGATGAGGAAGCCGTGGTAGCTCCCGCAACTACACCAGCTGACATTCCCCCTCCATTCCCATTACCCCCTCCGCCCATGGTGGAGTCGTAGCTGCTGGGGTTGTCGTAGTTCTCAGTCGTGCTCTCGATGCTGCCGAGGTCACTGAAGCCGCTGTCCACCACCTGCTGCGAGTGGTCCGACACAGACGGTACGTCCATCATCGGCGACGTCTCCATGTTCTGCTGGGAGGGGGCAGACAGAGAACTGGGATGTTCCGGCGTAATCTGGGTGTACCCACCTCCAGCTCCTCCACCACTTCCCCCTGCTCCAGTGGGGCCGGGCGTGCCCCCCCTCTGCCCTGCCGGTGTCGTGTCCATGATGCCCGAGGGCAACCCCGGACTGTTGACTGAGCGCACAGATTGACTGGGAAGGGGCGGTACAGGGGGATTGGGAAGGGGGCTGCTGTGTTGGGAGGCCCCACACTCCTCCACCAAGGCCAGAGCCTCATCTTCGGCCTCCCCCGCGTGGCTGTAACTCTGCAGGGTCCGGCAGGCAGCTAGGGTCTCCTCACAGTCCTGGTAGGCTCCGTGGTGTGGCTGGGGTTCGGTCTCTTCGTCCTGGGCTTCCCCCTGAGTCAGGGACTGGACGGCCTGCATGGTCTCCAGGTCCAGCTCGTTGGAGTGGTGATGGGGGTGGTGGGGGTGATGGTGGCCCAGCTCCTCTTTGAAGTCGGAGTGCTGGTGCTGGTGGGAGTGTGGATGTGGGTGCTGAGGTTCCATCAACAGCGTGACGTCCTTGTCATCCGGGTGCAGAGACTGGAGCCCCATGGGCTCAGAGGGAACAGACATGGCCGTGACGGTTTCCACCGCCGCTGCTGCTGCAGCAGACTCCTCCTGCTCTCTGCGCCGCCTCTCCTCCTGCTGCGGGTCCGCCGAGGAGGGTCGACACTTGGCCTCCTGCACCTCCTCCTCAGCCGCCTCCTCCTCCTCCTCTTCTTCCTCCTCCTCCTGCTTGCTGACGTAGTCTTGGGCCACGTTGTTCTCCATGTCTAAAAAAGCCTCTCCACCATGGGGTTCTTCTTTGACCGGAGGAGAGCTTGCAAGGGAGGCCGGTTCCTCCTCCTCCTCCTCGTCTTCCTCGTCATCTTCATCTTCAGAGTCCGGACTTTTTCTCTTCTTGCTGCTGTTGTTGTTGCTGCCGTTGCTCTTGTCCTCCAAGTGTCCATCCCCTTCATCGTCTGCATCATGGTCTTCACTGCGCCTGCTTCCTGAACCGGGTGTAACTGCTGCTCGCCTGTTGACACTCCCGCCACCGCTGCCCATGCTGCCGCATTCCTCTTCCTCCCTCTCCTCATCATCATCGTCCTCTTCCCTGTCACCCATATCTGTGTCCTGAGGCCGGGACAGTGGGGCCCGGGGCCCTGAGGTGGAAGACGAGGACAAAGGGGACAGCAGGGCCCGGGACGGTGGACGGCTGGGTTTGTCTTCCTCCCAGGCCCTTTCAGCCTCCTCCTCTTCCTCCTCCTCCTCTTCCTCTGGCTCAGAGGTGGGAGGAGGTTTGGGGGCCGGCTGTGGTGGCGGGAGGAGGGCGCGGTTCTTGGGCGGTCTCCCTCTTGGCCTCTTGGGCACCTTCTGCTCAACAGGTTTAGGGTGATAGTCATCCTCTTCATCAGAGTCTTTCTGTTTGGTGTCTCTGTCTGTGTTGGTTCTGCAGACTCGCTTGCTGTTGCGCTCATCAGTCTGGAGCAGCTGAGGATTTTTGTCCACCTGCTGCTCCAACTGCCTTTGTCTTTCCTGCTCTTGCCTCTCTGCCTCCTCCTGGGCCCGCTGCAGGTACCAGCTCCGGGGCTTGCGGCCAGGCTTCATCTTGATTTTGGGGGGTGGCGGATCCCCGCTTTGGGCCTGGCTATCTGTGGCTGCGCCACCACCAGGCGGTTTTCCAGGTCCTCGTTTCTTCCAGTGCAGTGGTTTGCGGCTCTTTCCCTTGGGCCAGCCTTTCTTCTTCTTGACTGGGACCTCAGGGTTGGCCGCTAGGGTCTCTGATGGAGTTGCTGGCAGAGCAGCCGCAGGCTTCAGCACAGGTGTTAGCTCTGAGAGGGGGCAAGAAGATAAGTGTTAGATAAAGCTGCACACAGTATGTAAAATAAACATCACTGAATTCTGCCAAGTTTGGCTTCAAAACTCTGTCTGCTCACCGTCTTCCTCTGAATCGGTGAGGTTGGAGTGCCGGCTCCTTTTAGGTGCTGGGTCAGACAACCTCATGACAGAGCGGGCTGGTGGGTAGCGGTGCAGCGGGTGGCCCAGTGGCGTCTCCTCCTCCAGCCTGGGCATAGGCCTCTCCGAGTCCGAGTCTACAAAAGGCTCATCCAACACCTCTGTGGTTTCAGAGATGGTCTCTGTCACCACGCTGCTGTGAGGGTGGCTGCGCTGACGAAAGCGGCGCTTCCTCAGCGGCTTCTGGGTAGAAACGGGACAGGTTATTAGGTGTTCCTGACCCACACTGACTGAGATCAAGAAGACTACAGTAAAAGACATGAATCCAGTTCTCAATACAACTTAATTGCCAATTTATTTAAATTTGCATTCACGGTTAACAAGACACTGTTCGTTTCTTACCTTGCATTTGAGCCCCAAGGCAGGCTTGGTGAGGATGGGTGGGGAGCATGTCGTCCTCTCATCATCATCATCATCATCATCTTCATCATCGTCATCCTCCTCCTCTTCACTGCTTTCACTGAAGCAGCTCTTCCTGACAGGAAGAGACTCATTCAACCTGGAAACCATAGGAAGCTGTGGCAGCCCCACCCCAGGCCCTTCCATGGATCTGGGCTTAGGGCCTCTCTTTTTCCTTGGGGGCCGCCCTCTTCTTGTGGGAGTTATGGAGGGGTGTCTGGTCATGTCCAGTGAGTGAAAGGCTTGGGATTCCGCTTGTCTGTCCAGGGAGAAAAGGGAGGGGGGCCCGGTAGCAGAGCCTGTGGTCTTTCCTCCCTCCGTTCTCTCCTCGTCTTCGTCGTCCACCTCCACTGGGCGGATCTTAGGTGGCCGTCCCACCCGCGCGCTGTCTTTCACCTTGCCCCAAGGCCAGTTTTTGGGTGGGCGCCCCCGTGGTCTGCGTTCTCCATTTGTTGGGGGAGGGGGGCGTGGTGGCTCTGGGACAGAGGGCGGACAGCGAATGGGAGGGGAAGCTGGGGAGCTTTGGCTAATGGGAAACCCCAGGAAGCACTTCCTTTCCTCTTCTTCCTCTTCATCCTCCTCCTCAGCCCTCTTCTTCCCTTGGCGCATGTGCCAGGAGATTGGTGGGACCTTGTGACTTGGTTTGATCTATTAAAAGATAAAGTAAAATAATGAATCAATAATGTACAACAACTTTGACATCAAACTGTTGTTCTACACAAATTCAACGTATTTACCTCCTTGCGGTTGTGCTCCTCTGGTTCATCATCCTCCTCGTCATCGTCATCATCTCCATCTCCGTCAGAGACCACAGTGTTGGTTACGACGACGGGGGTCCAGCGGAGACACTCTGGGTCGACATCCAGTTGCCGTGGCCGGGCCTTGAGACGAGTCATGTGGTTGGACACCAGCTTCTCCCTCCGCACCAGGACCAGCCTGACAAAAAAAACAAAACAAGAGTGTTAGAACTCTACATGCATGTTTTTTTAAATGCATTAGGAGAATCTGGCTGTGTATGTCAGTATATGTCTGTGTGCATTCACACCGATGTGTTTGTTAGCTTACGACGCCCATGAAGTGTTGTGTACATACGTGTGTGGTTACGTGTGTGCACATGTACATTTACAAGGTGTGCAAATGTTTCCTTACACTATTAGGCTGATCAATGTTAGTGTCTTAAACCAAAGCTTAATAATGTTGCCATTTGGTGACATTTTGACAACTTATTTCTGGTGCTGCCACTGACTTCTCTCTTTATCATTGTAACCCAATACTGACAACACATTAATCACTGGAGTAAACTTTGCTGACGACACTTAATCAACTGGCTGATCCAGCTTTTCATTCCATTGTAATGAAGAACTTTCATTCGAACAGAAAGCGTTACCAGGGTTTCTAATTGAATAAAGTTTTAACCTGAGTCAATGAATTAGGCTGCAGCAGGGTACCTAACCTATGTTGATAGTCAGTGGAAGTTCACATTGATATGGTGACTGTGTGAGCAGTGATCTTACTAAAGTCGACTTTAAAGGCTTGCTTTGTTTACATGCGAGGTGTAACCTGGCTACAAGCCCTATACTGTTTATTTTGGGTTAGTTACAAGAGCCGTTAACACTTTGTGACTGAAAACTGTCTGGCGATCAGATCCTCCTTTTTGTCACTGCGCCATAGTAAGTTATATAATATGCTAATGCAGAACAAATAATAAAATAAAGCAAAAATAACAAGGCCAGCTAAGGGAGAATGATGTTTGCCGACACCCTCTTCTAACACTGTGCAATCTGCAGGAACTTTCAACTCTGCGCGAGTACGGCGTGAACCACTGGAGGGCATCACTGACCCATTCAACACAGTACTCAACAATGTGGAGCATTTCAGAATGTATCCCAGTCCCGTCTCTGACCTGTCTCCTCGCTGATCCAGCATGTTGAGACTGTGCAGGGTGGTGGTGATGTCCTGCGGGCAGATCCCGGTCAGCTTGCTTAGTTGTCGTATGGTGATCTGCCGATCGCGGACATCGTGGAGACACTCCAGCACCACACTGCGCCAGTACGCCATGTAGGATAGTCGGCCGAGGTCGGAGAGAGGCTTCTCTGGAGATCCTGGCTGTCCCTCGCGCTTGGACAATAAGTAGCCTGTAGGAAGGGAGGAACAAAGGACATCTTGAGCCAAAAAAAGACATCTTCTATTTTGTCTATCAACAGAAACATTTCCCAGTTATTGGTGTTTTATTATGTTTTGCTTGAAGCTGCAGCCCTTACTGAAGTCGATGAGGAAGCGTCCGTAGCCCCTGCGCTGGTACTGTGGAAGAATCATGATGCATGACACGTTGTATTTCTGTTGACAGTGCTTCTCCTGGAGAAGAGGGAAAGAAGCAGACCCATTAGACCATAAGAAGAAAAATATATAATGGAAACTACATCACAGAGCAGGCCTGTGTGGGTGTGCAGCAGGGTGTTGATGGTGCCGCGTCCGCTCACTAACTGCTGTGTTTTGGCAGCGAGGAGGCATGTTAATGGGAGCACCTGCAATACGCTACAGAGGGGCAATGGAGCTCACAGCACCCACTGTTTATCTGGGACACATCTGAGCACATTTGAGCTAGGAATGCACCTGTGTGGGGTGATGCCATTGCATTTCAATTTCATGTGAATAGATTTTTCTCCCCGTTTTGGTTTTGCAGGGGTGGTTATAATTTATAGAGGTTTGTATTCCTTGAAAATGACTTTGCTGAGAGGTTGTGGGCCAGAGGGACTGAAATCCAGCACAAGGACGTGGTTGGGGAGCAATCCCATACCTTGGAGAAGTAGCCAACAAGGTGGCAACCTTTGCTGTCGTTCTGGGTCAGGACGTAGAAAAGGAAGGGCTCCACATCATAGTAGAGGGTCTTGTGGTCCAGGAACAGCTTGGCCAGCAGACACAGGTTCTGACAGTAGATTGTGCTCACATTCCCATCAACCTGTTGCGGGATTAGAAAAGAAATACATCAGCACAACGCAATGACAGTTTCCTAAATGACTACCATTCATTCCCCCGACACACTGCTGTCCAGAAGTGCATCTTTAAGCTGCTGTTAGAGAGCTGTGGAACAAAGGGGAGGTGAACGGAGGAGAAGTTATAGTGTCGGGCAATGATCTCTCAGCCGTGTCCCTGGAGACCCTGACTGATGGAGAGGGTGGAGGCAAGAAACAAGGAGCTGTAAAGAGAAAGAGAAGGAGGGAGGTTCAGCTTTGGCAGCCCGCCAGTTATATCTGCTCTCCTCCGAGCGGGGATGGACTGCAGAGCAGGGAAACAGGAGCTGCAGCGGCCATGGCCTGCAGACAACAATCCACTGAATTCATCTTCTGCTGCGCTACGAGACCCAGAAAAGGAGCTTAACAGTGCATGGGTGATTAGGAATTCTTTCTGATAATAACAGTCAATTCCCTAATGACATAAACATATGAATATTTCTCCATGGTAGGTAGGGATGTCAATTTATCACCATTAGGAATTTGGATGGATCAAGATGCTGTATATTCATGAAGTTGGTGGGCAAAGTATTGGCGCGCATATGGTTAACCTCTGATTTTATACTCTCACAGCCTGAATAAAAATGAGTGGGTCTCTGTAAAAGTCTATAGAAAGCGTTGGATACATTTTTGAGGAAGGATCCGTTGGTCTGTTCTGTGACTCTACAGGACTATTGTGTAGAGCATGAGATGACTACCAGAGTTAGAGTTAGTGTACTTTGACGGCGCTGTGGTATGGTCTCTCTGTTACAGCGTCATCCACAATCACTCGCACTATTGCGGTCTTTCACCATCACTCAGTCTGAACAGTTCCTCATGAACAGTTCCTCACCTCATAAACAGAGACGTCCTCCTTCCTGTAGATCTCGTTGGCAGGCGGGTGGAACCAGTTGCACTTCTTCATGTGCTGGTAGAGGATGCTGCGACTCTTCATGTAGCGCAGGCAGAACTCACACAAGTAGAGCTTGGGTAGTCTGGAAAGGGGAAATAGGAAGGAGAGTACAGAGGAAGAAGGAAACGTGAGGAATGGTAGAACTGTCAGCATCGTCAGATTTTCATCTTTCCGACGGTCCTTAAATACAATGCGTGTGTGTATATATAAACGGTTCCGTCAGAAAACACAACTTAGCTTACGATTGTGATATTTCATCAAAAACATATTCTGCATGTCTCATTTAAAATTCAAATAAAACGTTTTACTCCTGCAAAAAACATAAAATTCTGCGCTCCTCAGCGCAACTGGGAAGCCATGATTGATTCGGCTGAGACCAAGCGTCATGTGACAAAAATTGAATATCTTTAGGTTTTTGGACTGTTGGTTCAGACAACAGAAGCAATATGAATGTGTCGACTTGGGCTTTGGGAAAATGTGATGGTAAGTTTCGATTTCTTTGTTTGCCAGATTAATCAATGATGAAAACAGCTCTTGTTTTGAAATAAGCAACAATGCCTGAGACACACGTGGAACTAATGGGATTTGAACCACAGATTTCTTCAGCGGAGCAGGGGCATATTTTATTCAACAGCTACATGCATGAAGAAAATGAATACACCCTTGGCAAATCAGAATCCAATTGCCTCCCTGGCTCTGGCTGGTTACCTGCCAAAGTAGGTGGTACTGTAAACAACCTTATAATTGAGCTCCATTACACCACTGGTAATTGCTTTGCCTACACACAGGACTGTGAGCTAAGTACATTATGCTGGTGTGCTTCATCAGGGTAATTATCTTACCTGCTGTACTCCTGGGGGTAGGGAGACGAATACCACGTCTGGATTTCAAACTTGCCGAACTCGATGACTGACGGACAGCGCATCTGAGGATCCGGTGGACCCGTCACCCCGACTTTCTGTGTTGGAGAGCGACAAAGGAGGAGGAAGAAAGGGAGGGAGAGACACGGATGGTCAAGTTTACTGCTGGAGTGATCAAAGGGTAAGTAGACGGATTACACATCTACTGGATTAGGATCTTACACTGAGGCGTGAGAGGTAGGCAGGATACTGTCATCGGTAACACGCTTTTAACATAATCGGTTAAGTCAGTGACCAAAAGCCACTTCTTATTACTTTGGGCTACCGGCTAGCATGACAATGGAGCTATAAGTGGAGCCGCTGACACAGTTTGGACATCTCTGCCTGTCGTTTACGATGATAATGGATTTTCCTCTACGGCTCCTCAACCTAGACAATCACATCTGCCCTTTTCACACAAGCATTAGGCCTTACCACCATATCAAACACTTAAACACTGCTGTGAATACTCCAGCGGGATAGTGTTTTAATATCACTCCACTAACACTGGCCGAACACCGGCTCTCTGGTCAGTCTGCTGCTGCGCCGCATGAAAAGAGGGCGGTATTGTCGCTAATTCACATTTCCTCTCTGTAACTGCACTGGCACCGGGCTAACCATGCCATTAGAGGTGCCCCCTGCTCAACATTCACTCCACTAAACATCAGATGTTCTTTTGACACCAACACCGTCTTTATGTGCCTGACTGAGACGTGGCGGAGGCCTCACGCACTCAGCCACGCTGGGCCTCCATGGTGTGGCTCCACTGAGCAGCCCTGTGGTAATTGATGACTTTAATATACCGGCTGAATCTGGGAAGAGTTCCATGGTAAACTAATTTATTAGACAGACAATTAATAATCAATACAGCTAATTGACTTTTCCACCCACAAACGTGCCTACATCCTAGAGACCTCGCCTGAGACTTCATGTTTTACGCTCTGGGTGTTGTTGATGCTGCTTTTTCTGACGACATTCTCATTACCATTGAACGAACACACACACACACACACACACACACACACACACACACACACACACACACACACACACACACACTCCAGCCTGACAGCCTGAGTCATAGCCTCATAGGTCTCTCCCAGCTTCCCGTGCCGATGCCGTCTCACTCTACATTGTGCCCCCCCTACCCTTTGTCCCAATATCGGATCATTCAACTGTTAAAGACGGTTCGTGTTTGGTCTCTTGTGTCTGTGTACCTGCAGTGCCAGCTCCTGGATGTGTCTGAACAGCTCGATGTCTTTTTCCGTCAGGTTCTCGTGGCCGGGCAGTTTCTCATCTTCATCACGCCAGTCGCTGCCTTCCTGATTGTCTGGGGAGAGAAACGCAGGGTCGACATTAATGAAAATGTATTGAGAAGCCTGCAGGGACGGAGTGGCAGATGTGTGCTGATTATACAAAAAGGCACTACAGTCACAGCGGGCAGACATTGAGGCATCTATACACAGTCTTTCGTTAGCACACTTTTACTTTTGCTCAAAAACACATCATAGATATAGATATATTAAAGCCACATCACCACAGATGCATGTATGTTTACGATGACAAACCGACTGTTCTTCTTATACATATGTAGGGTAAACTGGTTTTGAATCATCACAAAACTCATACAGGTTGTATAAACCTGCTTCTCCATTGTACAACTACATCTTCAAAGTGGGTCAAAACACCAGTGAAAATTGAAGTGAATGCTGCCAACGCGTCTGCTCCGTCACATTTATTCTCTTCTGCTGCGCTGCACAGCAAAGGTTCAGTGGAAGGAGAACTGCAGGAGGCCACTTCATATTACAAAGCAGTTTCTTTTGATGCATAAGCAACACTTTCCAGAGGCAGAAAAAAAAAAAACATCAACGCTACTCCATTTTACCATCTGTCTACAATTTCCAAATAAGTAACATCACGGCTGTATCATTATAATGCTGGAAGAAAAGTGAAGCGCCGTCTACGCAGCACAACATGAACCGGTAGTACAGAGTCCGTCAGTTAGCAAAGCATCTAGCTGATAAATTGGGTATAACTGGAAAGCTGAGACTCTTGAGGATCCAATGAGCTTAAATTAACCTTCACTAAGTCCCACCCCTCAAATTGATCTTCAGGTTCCCAGCATTCAGATGATGTATACCACTTGTATGTGGCATATCCTTTTGACCTGCTATCTCCCCCTAAAGATCCCCTGTTCCCCCCCAAAAACAAGTCTATGCATGTCAAGTACATGAACTATATAAACGTATTTTTGCCGGTTTACAATAATTATTCTAAGTTGTCCATCTTGTACTTTTAAAAATTGAATATCTTGCATCAACCAGAGATGAAACGAAAGTCGTACTGCACTGGTAGTGGAGCTAATCCTCACCTCTATCATCTCCTTCTCCTTTGCGATTGGCTTTCTTTCGGATGCGGCACTGCTGTGAATAGTCCACCACTTCCTGCCGGGCCTTGCGGCCCTCGGGCGACGGCGTGAAGAACTTGGTGAGGGCGTCGATGAGGCCCTTGGTCTTGTTGTTGAAGCGCAGGCTGCCCTGCGACATGTCGTCGTCGTCCCGCATCGAGAAAAGCAGCCGGTCGTCCCCGGGGTAACCCTCGCAGGAGGAGCTGGAGGACGAGTGGGCCGAGGCCGAGCGCTTCCGCCGACCACGCCTGCCCAGCTTCTTAAAGGGCCGTCCCGGCCTGAGGAGAAAGTGAGCGGTCTGTTTGAGACTCTGGATATATATATATTTACAGCCTATATTTATATATAGATAATGATAAATTACACAGAGAAGAGAAAGAAAAAAAAGTAGCTGTGAGCTCATTTTAGCGAGTAGGCATTGTGGCCGTTAGCTCGTCTGCACTCTGGTGAGGCAGATACATGACAGCTTGCTCTCCGCTCGGCTAACAATAGCTGAAGGCATTTCTTTCTTCTCACCTGTTCTTGGGCCGCCCCAGCGGTGCGTTGTAGCGCCGTTTGATTTGTGCTGCCTTTTCAAGTAAAAGCTTCTTTCCCTTTTTCCTGGGTTGGCAGATTTGACAAATCCACATGCCTGGAGAAAAAAAGAGTAAAAGCACAGGTTCACACACCCCGCGGTGGAGTAGACAAGACGGGCTACCAACCGGGCTGCGGGACGTATCGAATACATTAGCGCTTAAATGGTAGAGCGTTGGGTGATTCATGAGGACTCGAGGCATCATTTAGTGCGACTATAACGATCGTATAGAGTAGTAATGAATGAGCTTTACGTAGTCCGTCAGTTGAATTCATGGGAGGGCCGCAAACAGGCAATGAAGAGGTAAGTGATGAGTTAAAGCAGCAGCGCTGTGCTTACCTTTGGGCATACGCGTGAGGGGGGGGTCACAGCACTCCATGTGGAAGCCCCGGTCACAGGAGTCACAGAACAACATGTTGTCCTGTATAGTTAACACACACACACACACACACACACACACACACACACACACACACACTATTGATGAGTATTAAACCCTTTAGATGTGTTTCACACAAAGTGAGTCTCATTGACTCATTGCACATGAAAGCTAGAACAATATGTTAGGGCATATTTCTTATTAAATATGCGTCACTCATGTCTAATAAGACGGATATGAAGCACTTTGTTTGATGATACATTTATTAGAGACTCCAGTGCTCATTCTGATGGCACATTTTGATCACATTTCCACATATTCATGCCCCAAAAGTGCATTATTTTTATTTAATTACTATGAATGTGCCTTTTACAGTTGGACTGCACTTTGAAAATATTCACCGTGACTGGTTGAAGCCAATGCTTTGTTTCCCTTTTATTCTCCATGTTCTAGATGTATTCTATCACTGTGCGTGTCGGTAGAATGTCGTGCATTTTGTCTCACTGTCAAACCTCTCTCCAAACATTTGAATAACAATCACTCCTCACTTGATAAGTAAGAGAAAAGCGTGAAATCGTGCCGATGCCGACTTAAAATAGCTCAATGCCGGGACCACAGAGCACCTAAGCAGAGAAGAAGAGTGCTCACAGACGCTGATAGGCGGCCAATCCGCCGTATTCGTTCTCATCCACTCACCGCATTCTTCCCTTGATCCTGACAGCTGCTGCAAGTCTTGCATTCGATGCACTGCCACCACAGAGCCTTGACTCGCGTTGTGAGCTCTGGGGAGAACTTGAGACAGGACGGGTGGCCTGCAGGTAGACAGACACACACACAAACAAGTCAACGTCACACACTGACTGACAGCCATGACCCACTTGCATCATTGTTGAAGAAGAAGAAGGAAAATAAGAGCTCCTCTTGGAATTGAAAAGGCCTCCCTGAATTAAACCTGGCTGCAAAGAGAGTGTTCAAACATAAATGACAATCTGTCAGAGCTCCGTTTGAAGAGCTGCAAACAAGATGCGCTCGTCTGGGACAGAAACCCACGGAGGGAAGAGGAGGAACACAATCCCTCCTCTGCTTTCACTAAGCGGCAGGAAAACCAGATTCATGTCCCAATTTCTCTGAAAACAGAGAACGGTGGCAGTATCTGGCAAGGCATGGCAACCGAAAAAGAGATAAAAGAGTCTGTGTCTGTAAATTGTTGTGTGCAGCTTCCTAAAATTAAACGCACAGTAATCGCTTTACAGGATGTGTGCTTGGCATTGTGCTTATATTTGCGTCTTTTAAACAAAAATTGTCTTTTTATAAAAAAAGATAATACAGAATTTGAGATTACATGTATTCTAACCAATCATATCACATTTATACTCTTCTTCTGTGGTGGTTCGGCCCACATAACCAAGAACACTCACCACTATTGCCACAGTCGGCGCAGGAGATGAGCTCCTCCGGCCTCTTATCGCGATTCTGCTCCTTGGTCCCCAAGCAGAAGCTGCAGATGGGGATGGGCTCTGCCACCGGCTGGGGGAGGGACAGAAGAGGGGAGGAGGGGAGAGATGAGAGACTGTCAGTCAACTTAACAGCCCAGTTGTACAAATGACAGCAAACAAAGTGGCCTCGTGTGTCCTGCCACAGTGAGTGACTGTTGCTGTGTGTATTAACGGCGGACTGAAAACTACAACGACACCACGGAGCACGTGGGTCTGTGAACAAAGTGTTGAGGATAATGAGGAGCACGAGAGCTGCACTGTGAGGGGATGGCTTGTATAATTCATGTCAACGTCTCCGCTGAGTCCTGTGTCGTTTGATCTAAAGCTGTGTCTGCTTGTACTGGATGAGGAGTTTACGTTCCAGAGCAATGTGTCCCATTCTGACACTTATTCTGAAAGACGCCATCAGACATTCATTTCTGGAGCGGCATTCATCTTTTAGCGTGTCCCCAAAAAACACACAAACCGTGTCAGCAGGCGTGTACTAAGACACAAAAACACATTACCTGATACGCACAGAAGAGCAAAACCTAGGACAGGTGTGTGTCCAGGAACACAAAAGGCAGGATAACACAACATGTTGTTAGGCATCAAGTATGACTCGTCAGTCTGTGCAGGTGCACCTCACAGGTACTAACACAAGAGGGAGGGGCCACGGGGTGAATCTCTGTGAAAGTCTATGGAGCCTGGAGGCCCTGAAGGGACGTGGTGGCTCACTGCTACCTCAGAGTTCACCACAAGGCAACACATTTGGTTTACTGTTGAGTAACCTACAGATATGAGTCAGTCAAATTGTTAATTACTGCCACAATGTAACCATATCAATCTTTATACTCTGGCTGTGGTCACATACTCTGGCTGTGGTCACATAAATGTCCTGTAGGACATTTATGTGACCACAGCCAGAGTATAAAGAGTATTTCTGACTGAAAAGTCTTCAAATTGATACAAACACAAATTTAAAACGCAAAACAATCTGAGTTCGCCACCGGTACAACCACTTGTATTTAAAGGTTACATGCTGGGTTAAATCACAAGCATTAGGTCAAAGGAGAAATATGCGTCATATGTGTTTGAATGGGTAAAGATATTGGAGAGATGTCTCTCCTCCAAACTCAAAGCTCTCGTGTGTTGCCAGGTTGAGGACCCTGAACCTACACGAGCACACATTAAACTTTGCCATGTGCAACAACAAAGACAAAACGACTAGAGATGAACCTTATAACAACACAAACCCTGTGCTAACTTACAAACAGCGCTGGGCAGATTACTTAGAAAATGTAAACTCTTCTAAAGCGGGTACATACTTTCTATTAGATAAGATAAATAGCTGGTAGCTAGCGATGGCCGTGAGTAAAGCCCGGCCAAATGAGCTTGCGTGTCCTAAATATTCACTGCACACCAACCACAGAGACGTGTTCAAGCCATTAAACTAGTGTTAAACTGGATGAACGCGTTTATTTTCTTTACGTAGGCTAATTTCTAGAACCATGTTTGTTTGCTTGCTTCCAAGGCTGCTGTTTGAATGCCAATTAGTTTCACATCTGGCAACCCTGGGTATCGCAATGGGCCAAAGACCAAAGTAAAAACAGACGTTCTTCACTGGAATGGAAACTTGAAAGGAGAACGTACTGGCTGCAGCATTGTTGTCGGAAAATCCACAACTTCAACTTAACATGTTTCCTTATGTTTATTCTTTTTATGATTTAATGCAGTAAATATATTACATATTTCTCCATTAAATACACCTGTTTCTGGAGGGTTCAATTGATACAAAGGATATTCAGTTGCAAAAACCATCTTATGAAGACAAAGTAACAAAAAAGATCTGAGGTAACACATTAAAAAGTACCGATCAAGAGAAGAGTACAAGGAAATGTCTCAAGTACAGTGTGTTTATGAGAGAAAAATGCAACTGTGGCACCTCGAGCGAGCAGTCTGCATGTGTGAGAAGAGCACAAGTGATGGACACTCTGAAGGAGCTACAGGGTTCCATGGCTGACATGGGAGACACCGGGCATACGACATCTGTTGTCCAACTGCTTCCACATCCTCCGCTTTATGTTTAGCGCAGCGGAGAGGAATCCACTGTTGAAAACAACTCGCGTGACATCTGGGCTGGTGTTTGCCCGCTGGCACGTGTGCGACTCTGAGACACAGTGGACGAGGGTTCTATGATCCGATGACACCAAAGCGGAGTCGCATCAGCACAAAACACTGAATGGGTGGCGTCGTGCTGCTGAAGGTAGCGGGTAACATGGCTGCAGCCAAAGTGAGACACATGCCAAAGAACTACAATAGCAACATGCCGGAGCAGAGTCACAACTCAAGTTAGAACTCACTTGAGGTGGAGATTTCTTTCAACTTTGACTCTCTTTTCTTGGGTTAATCAGTGTAAAAAAAATAAAAAAAATCTAATTATCCTACTAATTATTTAAAATTGTTACACAATAAACCAGAAAAAAAAAAATAAAAATCAGGGAAGATGAATGCTTTTATAGACACAATAAAGCCAAATATTTGAACACTTGAGACACTTCCTGTTATCTGTGATAATATGTGACATCTTATAAGTCAGATACTGAAATCCCCAAACAATAATAAAAGTATATTTTTAGGACAAAACACCCTCATACTTGCATAAAGTCCATCACGCAGCCTGCTACGAATTTAGAAAGTAGCCGCCGAAACTCATTGAAAAATTAAAAAAGGAAGTCTATTCTCAAGCGCATCCCTGGTAACCATGATGAAGAGAAAATACTAATCTGTATGTTTTATATTATTCTGAAATTCAAAAATACTGAAACACTTTGCAGGAGGCACACACCTGAGGGCATAACATGCTCACAGGGGACAGTCCAATAATTCATTTAAAATGGGGAAAACAACAACGTGACTTTCACCGAAGACGGCGTCGCGACAGCACAACAGCGTTGGTGCACACGGCTGCAGAGAGCTGGGGAGGCAGGGAGGAGACGGGGACAAGAGAGCTTGATTTATTGGGTTCATTTCCTTCTGACTCAGGCTACTTCCAACACCCCCACCTAACACCACAGGGACAGAGAGAGCACGAGAAACAAAAGGTACGAGAGAGAGAGAGAGAGCGAGTCAGAGAAGAAAGAGGTAGAGAGAGAAGAGGGCTGTAAAGAATGAGCAGTGGAGTGAGAGAGAGGCAGATAAGCACAGAGGAAGATAGAGTCTTACGTGAGGATAAACGTACAAAGCACCAGCTCTCTATTTCTGAAACCATTTCACATTCTCACAGGTAAAAAGGTTATAACAGGGTTATAACGTTTAAGATTCAAAACCTGGATGCGTGATGAAAAAGAGCTGTATTGGGTTGCAAAACACTGAAGAGAAATGGAAGTCAGTGGCGAGGAGGAAGAAAGGAGGAGTGTTAAGAGAGCGGGAGTCGAAAATAAGAATCCAGAGTGCAGGGGGGAGTGAAGGAAATGGGAAGTGTTAAGAAAGAGAGAAATGTGCAGCAGCAGTCCTCTGAGCGGTGTGCGTGCGACCGACACCTCAATCATTGCTGACGCTTAACCCTTTCCCCGCCGGAGGAGGTCAACAGCTCCCACTCGCCCTGTGAGCGCTCGAGTAAACACGAGCAGAGAGCCCCACACACAGTATAGTGACGCGAGTTACAGTGAGGCTTTAGTTACTGGCTGCCACCGTAAATTAATCCCTGACAGATACTAAAAATTGAAAAGCTAATCCTCCCTCCATGACAGGGATATTGGAACGGTGAAACACAATCCTCAAATTTCTCCCGAGAGCTGTTTTCTCCTCACCGTTTCAGCTCCTTTTCTACCTCGGCCAGCATTAGCTGCCAGGACTGCTCTTACACCACAACACTGCTCGAGAAATCTCCCACATCTCCCGACTGTTAAGTGACACGGACCACTTTCGACTTAAGATGTGTGTGTGTGGGTGTCTATTTTAAGCCTGCGTGTTGCTGCGTTGGCATGCATCACTTCTTTTTTTTTTTTTGCCCAACATAAGAAGCGTTCAGGAACACACCGTTGTTCGGAGCCAAAAAGACACGCCTTGTGGCAACTGTTAGCTGCTAGCTGCGTCTACTGGGTGGACTTGAAATGCCATACAAACATGTCTTACAAGTTACTCTATAAACACACACAGCGAGAGAGAGAGAGAGAGAGAGAGAGAGAGAGAGAGAGAGAGAGAGAGAGAGAGAGAGAGAGAGAGGTGATGGTACCCGAGTCTGACCCGACTGACACACCAGCTCGTGCTTTATGGATCACTTGAGCACAACAAACACACTCCACACTCCACCCTGTGTTCCAGGGTTAGCCTACTTTTAGGTTTAGTTTTCAAACGGTCAACGTTAATACTTGAGGAAGCATGCAGCGTTGTCTGAGACCTTGTGCGGAGAGATAGTTGGTTATAAAATAAAAACTAGTGATGGCCTGGTTTCCCCACTTTACATAAATTGGCTTTTGTTGTCCAAAAACAGAGGACAGGAGAGTGAAACAGGAGGGAGAGAACAATGGAGCAAGGACGAAAGGAGAGGGAGAAATGGAGGAGGAGGAGGAGGAGGGATAAAAGGCAATGGGAGAAAAGGGAAAGAAGGAAAAGCGTTGCTGTTGTCCTTGTCTCGTCTCAAGTCAAGGATCTCATTAACATGGGAGCCCAATCTCAGCAACCCCCACCCCCAACCACCACCACACTTCCCTTATGGCCGCCCCCACCTCCAACACAAACTCATTGATCACTGTTACAGAGCACAACGTGCAAAGCAGACAACACACACACACACACATATTTGCACTTGCAGTCATTGCATGCACGAAGCACAAGTGGTCGTGAAACACACCTCAGCATGCCATCGTCACATTTTCATCCGAACGTGTATATGCATGGATGTTCAAGTGATGTCAGCTGACGGTTAGGGGAGCAGCGTTGACATTTCATATCTGAACTCCCTGGAGCCCCACCTGCCCAGAAATCACTTGTCAGTAACTGGTCCACTGTCTACAAACAGCCCGAGGAAGAAGACCGTGTGTCGTGCCAACCCGCCCTTCCCTTTAGCCAAAGCATCACCCTCCATTAACGTCGAGGTTAGCCAGCGAGCACAAAGCTAAATCACTGCATCAAACGGAGCGGGAGCTGGCGGCGCTCCAGCCGTCACTTCCACAGCTGCTCAACACATTGGCTCCATTTGTAGGGTGGTGAGGTTAGCCATACGCGAGGCCTCACACAGACACAGCTACACTTCGCACGCCAAATGCCATTCACGTCACAGTCACCGGTGAGCTGGAGGTAACTGTAACTGCTGCTGCTGCTGCTGCTGGCAGCGTCTGTTCCTGGTCGTTCTCCTGCAGCCAACGGGGTCAAATTTGAACACCGTCACTGAAAACATTTTCCAGCTCGAGGCCAAGTCTACACAAGGTTTAGGAATGTGTTCACACAGACCTGGCAGGTTGCAGTTAATGATTATTTTAGTCATCGAGTGTTGTCCTCGATTATTCCATGGATTATTGGATAAAACAGAACAACTAATTGGTTTCCTTTTTTTAGGAAAATCATCATTTGTATTGCTGAAATTGCATAAATGAATATCTGTCAAAACTAAACCAATTGAGTGTAATGTGCCGTATTTTGATGAAAAACACATGATTCAAATATTAGGAAATAAATGATTGTATTTTGATGTTAATATTAGCTTTGATAAAAAATATATATTGGCATTAGTAATTTTAATTATCTATTATAAGCTGTTTAGTGCCCACTCTAATATTTATTTTATACACCTCCAAACAAAAACTACTGTATATTTTACAAGATTAAATTTATACATCATGATAACATCAACGGTTGGGGTTAAACAAAGTTTCTTATGGAATCGTTTCAGCCTCACAGACCTCAATCTGGAGAGTTTATTTATCATAAAGTTTTCCATAGACAAAGTCCAGGTGAAAAGCGGTGACAGTGAGCTCACTGGACTGTCTTCAGTAACTCAGGGACTCCATTTCTGGAGTTCTCAAGTGTAATGTTTCACTACTTTGAGCTCCGCCAATGAAAATCCATTCCTGCACGATTGTATTTGAGGTTGCAGCAGAGCACAACAACATGTTCATTTTGATTTGTGTGAACGGACCCTTTAGATAAATGCTCCGCCGGTGTGTCTAACAACTGTCTGTGGTCGCTGTGCAGCATGAGCTGGTGCCATCAGAGAGAGGAACAAGCTCTTTCAACTTTAGGAACTAATAATGGCTCGACTGAGGCCATAGCTCTGGTAGAACGGGAACAACAGATGCCTGACAAGACAATTAAGGCAAAAAAAAATGTATCTCTCCACCCCCCTCCTTGAAAAATGGATCAGTCCATAATCTCAAATTCAAGTTGACAATAAGAGTCACGGGAGACAATTTCATTGCATCCAACTTAGTCACTTTCCCAGCATTCCTGTGGTGTGATGCGAACCCGGAGAATGTTTTCGTCCATCCAGTGAACACACAAAACCATCTCCTGCGACTGCACAACATGATGGAGCAGCAACGAGGGGGAAGGGAAAAAGACGAAGAAGCAGGTTGCACCAAAGGCATATAATCGATGTCTGAGGGCATTCTGTATTCACGATCCTCCGAGTGATGATACATGATGTCTTCACCTTGAGCCAACACAAGCAGGGGGATGTGTGTGATGTTGGAGAGACAGGTGGGGGTGTGGGGGGGGGGGGGAATGCAGTACTGGGTAAACGGAATGAATTACAGGGGATAAATATAGCCGTTATGGAGCATAATAAGCGATGCTTAATGCAGCAACTCTACAAACCGCTACCAGCTGCAGGCTAGCCTGTCACGGGGTCAGCGGGACGTTTTGGAGGGAAATCACCACGACCACGACATTGTGTACAAGCAGAAAACGTTACTGTGTGTGTGTTGATCACGGGCCGTTTTTTTTTTTTTCCACACGTCCTCGCTGTGACACTGCGCGTCGAGATCGAGAACTCTGGTTCACCCCGCTCCAGCTGTTGAGGAGGGGGCAACCGCGGGGCAGGGAGATTGTTATTATGACAAGGATGAACATCATACACACACACACACAAAAGCTCAGCGTCAAGCCCATCCCATCTAATGGCCGTAGCCTCATACTGCTAACGGGCGCTCAGGGAGGCAATGAGGTTTGCCATCTATATATCCATGACCCCTGGTTGACTTCACTCCCCCATCCACCTCCCCCTTCGTGACCTAGCAATGGCACCCTATCAGGGTGAGAGTGGGGGAGACAGAAATAAGGTCTGGGATCCCGTTTGAATGGAGTGCTTCGACACAAACATTGTCGTGTTGGGTACACAAATCTCCCCACAAATGGGGTCAAAGCCAGTGCTGAGCCTGCTCTTTCTCTCTCTCTCTCTCTCTCGTTAGCAATCATCCAGGGCAATATGGCAATGATGCGCAACTTGGAAGAGTAGGAGAATGATCACGCAACGGCGACTCCGTCTACCGTGCACACACAGTTTCTATCTCTTTGATGCATATGCCTCTCGCACCGGCTAACATACACATCAAGAACACACCGACACATACTCGCAAAAACACACATGATTGAGCAGCAATAAGGTTACATCCTCTGGAGAGAGATAGAGGAAAGCAACATCACAAGCAGAAGCCGGGAGGAAGCGTAAACAGGCTTGCATGAATGCCAGACACAATTGTCAATTTCCTCACTGCTGCAGCGGCTTCCCCATCTAGTCTGCAGATGAGGCTCACAAACAACAACCCCCCCCCCGCGCCATTCAGGTCTACGCGTTTAATTCATAATCTCTGACCGGTAAATAATGTCAGGGTGGGCTTGATTGCTCATACAAAAATTCACTTTGCCTTTCTGGTGCAATCTGAAACAAATCCACTTATGTACAAACATTGTTTTCACACCGAGGCCGGCGTTACTTTGTGTTTTCATTGGGTCCTGTGAGGCGGAGTGGCGGGCCGATCAGTAGCTGAGTCAGAGAGGAAGAGGAGGTTGATGTCGGTTCGTCTTAGGACAGGGCCATCTGCAGCCAAGCAGGTCACTGTGTTAGGCAGACCCCCATGTGACTCCAGCCTGCTCTCTAGGCTAATCCTACTTTGTGTGTGCGCGCGTGCGTGTGTGTATGTATGGGCGTCCATACCAGCAGCTTCCCAGGCTTGAATACACCCCCACACAGAGGGGCAGATAAAGCCAGGAGCCAGCCAAAACAGTGTTCAGGGCAGATAGAGTGTTAACAACCTGAGTGACATTTGATCCAATGATGGGCCACTAGGCCGGCACATAGTGGTGTGTAGTGCCAACAGGTTTATTTACATGCTGGTTGTTAGATGTTTGCATGCCTGTGGTAATCTAAAGTAGAGGATTCATGGAAAGCAAACTGTTGTGCGTGTTGTCTTGTGTCAGAATCCACTCCGTTTGTGTGCATGTCGGTGTGTGCCATTCTCTGTTTGCATGCAGTTGTATGGTTTTATATGAGAGTGTGTGTGTGTGTGTACACACATAGCCCTGGCCCTTAGAAGCAGAGGTTAGCAGCCGCCTGCTCTCTGTGATCAGGTTACAAAAGTGGGTGTGTTCCCTCTCTCGTCTGTCGCCTGCATGTCTGCCTCCAACTTATTCTGTCTCTCTCGCTTTCTTGTCTCTCCATGTCTCTGCCTTTCTGGAGGCCTGTAGCTTGCGTCATCCAGGCTTCTTCCTTTGGCACCACTACAGACCATCTCTCGCTCTCCCTCATCTGTGTTCCTCCCCTTCCCTCTTTTCCTTTCTTTCTTCCACCCATCCTCCTGCCAAGGAGCAGCCTTGCAGCTGGTCCACACTCCCTGCAGGAGGGTGGGAGCCATGTGACTCTCTCCCCCTGACCTCCTCCCCTGCTAAAAAAATTTGGCCCACCAGACGCTCCACCCAGCATCACTCTAGTATTGCTCGCATGGGCCACATCGCACACACCTGGGGCTCTGTCACTCATATATTGCCCCAGCAAATGTAACGCTGACCAAAGAAGTCTTTCTCACATGTATTCTGACCCGATACGCCCATGTTCTCTCCAAGAACACACTGATAACGTCTTCCACACAGTGATGCAGACTCCAGTTTGTGGATCAATCCTCACTCTGGCATCCGTCTGATCTTACAAATGTTGCCCAACCCTTCGCAAAAAAACTAAAACGTTGCAATGTGCTATCTGGTGTGAACTACTACGCCATATGCTGGATGAAAACTCACGACTAACGTTCACAGAGTAAAGGACCGTACTGTGCTGTGGTAAATTACAGCCCTGTAGGCCCATGACCAATTTGAACAAGCAGAGAAAATGCAGCGCCAACATCTCAGATATTGCCAACTGATAGCTCTGGACTAATCTGGGTGTGCATCGGCTATTATGCAAGTCCAATAAATGTTGTGTGGATTGCAAAATGAGAGGGAGTTTTTCTTATACTTTCACAAATCACACTCTTTCTGTTGATCCAAAATGTTTGAACGGAGGAGCAGTTTTGACAGGATATCCGTTATATTATTAGACACATGTGATGCCAACAGACCAAAGTGATCTTCTCTTTTTACACGTGTAATGCAAAACCTTTACTGTCAACTGTGATCAGCAACATCCAAATGATAACAGTTGTCAATAATCCACAGTCAATAATGCCCATAGTGAAAGTGACCAGTTATTTACTATCTATAGCATCATATCAATGCGTGTAGGTTTAAGGTGAATGCACACCTGTTGGTGTTGGTGACAGATGTACAGAGACATTACCTTGTCTTTCTCGTGGGGCAGCAACCGGACTGGTGGCAGTGATCCCAGAGACACCGTCCCGGTCCCGTCGTCCAGGCAGCTGCTGCGGCTGATGAGCTGGAACAGTGGACCCTGCTTCGCCACACGTCCATGGGCCACGGCCCTCTTCAGGGCCACCCTCAGCTGCTGGTGGAAGAGGCCAGACCCCATAGAGCCGCTGCTTGACAAGTAGGCCGCCACGTCCGCCTGGCACTTGAGAAAGCGCTCGATGTTCTTTAAGCTGGAGCCACCGGGCTCATGGAGCCCCTCCAGTGCCCGTTTGAGCAACTTGTTCCAGTCCAGTCCCGGTTTCTTCCCAGAATGAGAGTGAGAACTACCTCCGCCACTGCTGCTGCTGCCGCCGCCGCCGCCGCCACCGCCACCACCACTGCAGCTGCCACTGCCGCCGCCACCACCTCCTCCTCCTCCTCCTCCACCTCCTCCACCTCCACCTCCAGAGCTGCCACTACCTTTGGGCTTGGGCAGAGCCAAGCGCCCCGGGTTGTCAGGGTCCTTGTAGGAGTTGAGACCTTTGTTTGTGACCTTTAGGATGGTACCATCCTTGACGCTGAGCTCCAACTGCTCCAGAACCGTTTTGCGATCCAGGCTATGAGACATGGAGACCGCATTGCAAATGCGCTCCTCTGATGGTCGCTGCTTCTGCTTCTTCACCTTCTTGATGGCCTCCAAGATCCATTGAGTGTACATTGGGTTGGCCAGTTTCACCATGGCTACGGTCTGGGTGGGTGCGGGGGCCTTGATGCCTTACCACACACAAAAAAGGACTGTAAGCCAAGGAAACACCTGGCCTGCGCCGTAGCGCCGCCGCCTCCTCTTTCTCGTTGCCCTCTGCCTGCGTACTAACCCTTGTCCTGGGGTCGCACAGAGAGTCCCTCAGAAGCTGAGTGTGAGCAGCACGGTAATGAGCAGCTGAACATAGCACAAACCCCCTGAGCCAACTCTCCACCTGGTAAAATACAGCCCACCCACCTCCCACTCCCAGTCAGGTGAACGTCCCTGACGAGAAGCAGGGGGAGTGGAGGAAGTTGCAGGTCAATTAGCAACTTAAACTCCAACAGCACACAATGTAGAGTAGATCTTGGCAATAAGAAGAGCTTGAAAAAAAAAAAAGAAGAAGGTGTTTCCCCACTTTCCAAAACAGCTATTCACAAAAAATAAAACCTGCTCACTGAGGTTCCTGTTACTGGCAAACTAGCCAATTCTCAATGCGAGTCGGTGAAGATGATCATAGTCTCCATGACATGAAATTAGTGTTTCAATGATAAAGGGGAGGGTAATGATGTTTTCTGTAGATTCCACAAGCTTCCACGTTTTCTCGTTCCTTCTCGCTGTGCTTTACTCTTCCAGCATGCCGGGGCTTCTGAGCTCTGGGACGGAAAAGGTATCTCAACCCAGGGAGCAGTCACAGCCGATCACCTTCACGCCTATTGCACTTCAGTAGCTGACAAACCCTGCAAGGAAGAAAAACACACCACACACACACACACACACACACAGGTTAATACAACTTTTGCAGAAAACACTTTTCAATAAAGTGAGAAAAAATATGGTAACACAGCTATGTCTTGAAACAAAGATGTGTTTAAATGAGATACAGATAACCTTAGAGAGGGCTTTTATAAGCACTGACACACCATACTTTTCCCTCACAGATATATAAACAAAGCCATGCCTGCATACAGAAAGCACCATGAGGATTGGCCCATGCACTACTAACAAACTGGATATTGGGGAAGAGGAAGGATCACATCCCTGGTGATTGTTACCCCCTGACAGCTTGCTAATCACAGCCAGAATAATACAAAAATCGACAACTAGCAGGCAACGTTAAGACCATAACTTCTAACAACCACTAGAAAACGGCACAAATGTGTCATAATGATGGAAATGACGAGCTATAAAAGTGTAAACAACATCATCCTAAAAATCTGCACAGCAAGTTGACCATTGGCTAACTTAGTTGGGTTGCTATGGTAAACATGATGCAGTCAAAACACAGACTGTTAGCAAACATTAGCTGAGGAGCTAGCTGTAAACCAAAGCTTAATCCATTGCCGCATTGACAAACTGTTTCCTACGGTGCTGTTTACTCTCACCGACATGATATTAGATGGCCAAAAATCTGACAACAAGCCTTCCCGCTTACTGCTGTTGTTCAGCACGCTGCATTAAAAGCTAGCCAACGAGCTAACGTTACGATAATGTTCCTAACGTTAGTCGCTAACCCCGAAACGTAAACAGCACGAAACGAGGAGTTAGCCAGCGCTCCAGCTAAAACATAAAGACACCGTTTTCCTGTCGACAGACGTTCCAGACAAACACTAACCATCACACCGCAGCACACACGGAGAATAATCTCATTTTGAATGTCATTCGGATATTAACGTGAGATCGCGGCCTTGTAAAAAAGGCACAATGCAACTTGCAGACGGCCATCTCGGCTAGCGAGCAAGTGCAAAAAAAATAAGACATCATAGCGGCGGATTGTGCAGCGCTACATGTTCTCCGGCCTCCTTCCCAGCGAGGAGCCTCTGCCCGCGGAGACGCGTCCCTACGAGCGGTCCCCACCTCGCTGACTTCCTCCCTCCACCAGCCGCCCTCCCACGTAACACTACAGCCTGCGGTGCGGAGAAAACAAGGCCGCTGGAGAAGCTAGGCCTCGGCTCCCCCCTCCGTACCCCCCACACCCACCTCCGCGATCATCATCCCTCACGTACCCCTCTCTCCCTCTACCTCTCGCGGTTCCCCAGAAAGCCCGAGCTGGTCCGGTTCTGGTTTCCGAGGGAAGCTCGCGGAAAGGCAGACCCGTGTTTTAAAAAAAAATCCCATGTTCCCCCAATCCGGCTTTCGCTGCTACTCACCGGAATTTCTTGTCGAGCCGCCGAGGAGAAGGTGCCAAAACCGTGCGAAACGGAGACAACAACAAGCCAAAAAATGCAGCCACAGACCAGGGGTTCTAGAGCCGACGCCATCTTTGAGTGAAACAGGAGCACGGCTGGTGGGGGAGGGGGGAACACTGAACCGTCAGGCAGGGCCAAGGGACCGTCTGCATGGTGCGAGGCGAAGATCCAGGGGAAGAAAAATCCACTGCAAGGCGCGGGGGGCGGAGGCGCTGTGCTGTTGCTATGAGAGGGGTGTGGATGTTGCTTGAGCACATGAAATGGAAGAAAGGGACAGATGGTGGTGGTGTTGGAGGGAAAAAAAAAGAAAAAGAGAGGATAGGTGTTCTCGCATTCTCTGCTGTACTACAACTAGGCCTACATAGGGGGAGATTCAAGGGAGCGTCTGCATTTTGCCGAGCAGTTGTAAAAAAAAAAAAGAAAAAAAAATCAAAGCCAATGAGCGTGCCTTAACGTTAGAGGGTATTTAAAGATCAAAGTGAGACATCCCTCCACACTGCAGTCTATTGTAGCTGGTGTGTGTGTGTGTGTGTGTGTGTGTGTGTGTGTGTGTGTGTGTGTGTGTGTGTGTGTGTTTTAAGCTAAAGATGGGAACAGAGTCACACAGATCCAATCCTTCACAGATGATTAGATGTTACAGTGCAGCTATCCGGAGTATTACAGCACATGATAAAGCATGGTATTATGCACAGTAGTCTGCTAATGCATTGCTCGTCAGACTGTAAAACAGAGTATTATCTTTCCATCAAAGAAAATTATTATGTAAACTGTCTGCTGTCAACCCACCTTGTTACATTTCATCCTATGACAGCTGAGCTTCACACCTTTTCCTTCTAATTTATGTTCGGAGAAAGGTTGTTTTTTTTTGAACAGCTCTCGGTGCAACATAAATCACAGCATCTGGTGACAGATGGAAGCAAAATAATGTAAATGTATCACTGTGAATCTGCAGTGTGCTCGATTTAAAAGTAATTTGCACTTAAAATATGCTTAATACAAGTTGTAGATAATTTCAGGCCTAATATATGTTATATATATTAGGGAAAGTTAAAAACTACATTGTGAATAGTGAGACTATTAATCGTGGCGGCTCAGAACACGCAGAGTTCTGCACAAGGATTGATAAACTATCACATGTTGCCCCATATAGTTTATGAATATGCCTTGGGGAAATTTGAAGAACTTTAGCACAGCCTTCTCATTCAGAAGAAAAACAATCAGAGGGACACCGGTTTTGCTGCTTCAACTTCATGATCATAGTGATACAGAGGCACTTGTGTTGGAAATCTGGCAGCAATCTTCCTTTTCTATTACAGGCTAACACTGAAAGCTCCCTGGGTGGAAATTAAATTATCTGCAGCTTTGTGTCAAATGATGTGTACAGCAGTCCTCAGAGGCAAATTATAGAGTGTCTCATAGGGAGCAATTAGAACTGAGGTTTTCCCATGTTAGAGGTGTCTTGTGAGAGGGTGAACCGCTGTCAGCGCAGTGGTGATCAAATAAAACCGGTAAGGTCACACTTTACTCGCTGTTTGTCTTGCACTTCTTCGGGGACAGATAAATCACGTTTCAACGACGAGGCACTAATTATAATCAGCGGCAGTGTTATTACACAGATAAATAGTGTGAAGCGTTAACACGTGAACGGCTATTAGTACGCCTCCTGAGGACTCACATATTACATTAGTGTGTACAGTAGGCCAGCGAACAGATGGACTATACACAGGAGAAGCTTGCACCGCATCTATCGCTCCCCGCCATGAATAAATAATGTTGTGTGCCATGATCTACAGCAGAGGCCATGTTCAACAATACACAACAACAGAAACAAACTAACCGGGTGGGGTGTGAGGGTGGAGGAGTATATAGGGAGTCATTTCATTGTAATTGTGATCAGATAATATGGATTTTCTGTCAGAAAAATGGAGGCAGAGGCACAACTTGAAGACCTTATGAGTACTGTCAACCGATACAGTAATTAGAGGAATGAGGACGGAGATATAAAGGAGGGTGCATTTGCGTAATTTAATTTACACACATTGTTATTGGAGTCAACGCATCTTTTATAAGATGTTATAAATTGTTATGGGACAACTTTTACAGCAAACTTAATTGTGCACGATGTAAAAGTCCTGTATCCTGCATAAATGTATTTTCAAATAAGTAAACATGAAGCTGAAACGAGGAGCCCATTCATTGATTGACAGAAAAAGAATGGGCAACAATTCTGTTTGTAGATTCATCGTTTAAAGGAATAGTTCAACAATTTGGTGACTACCTGGCTCTGGTACAGCTCACCAGAGTGCTGATGACGTGAATTAGCATCGCACTGGTTCCCTCGACAAAAAGCCATTATTGCAGAAGTAATCCTGTTTAGAAAAGAATGAACGACTAGTTGATAATGAAAAATAATAGTCATTTGCGTTCCTAAAACAGGCATTTATGCTTAAAATGTAACATTTGTGGTTAATGATGGTTTTGATTAGTGCACCTTTTCACTTACCACTGCTACCCCGCATAAAGGAGAATCTTATTACACATAATTCCTGTTTTAGGGCATTGGTTTCCCAAATATGAACAGGTTCTGATCATCTGGTTGAAAAACAAATTAACATTTATCCTTGGGTAATACAATAAGCCCACAACCACAAATGGATGTTTTGATATTCAGACCCTTGGCTCGTATTCTATCTTTGGTGGAGAAAAGGAGACAAGTAATCCTTAGCTTACTTTCATCCCCTTAATCCCTCCTTTTTAAATTTCTATTCTCTGAGCATCCACCTGCTAGGGGCCCCGAGCCCCCAGCACCAGTGTCCACCTGCCCCCCTGCAACCATCCCCTCTACAGCACACACACACAGACGCACCCACACACACACACACACACGCGCACACACACACACACACACACACAACCACATTCCACCTGATGCACAGCAGCACCTCCTGCTCTCCAGGCCTGCTGTCGGGCCTGCTGGCTCCTGCTCCTGCCACTTCTTCCTGCCTCGAATTTAAAAGCTGGACTTTTGCCAAGCCAAATAAACTTGCAGCATCCCTTTTGGTAAAAAAAAACCCCAAAAGGTTCACGCTACGATTACCATGCTTGTTTAGTTGTTGTAGCTGTTGTTAGCATATTTTTGATTGTGAGCTGGTTTCCACACAGCCTTTGCTGTTGTTTATATTCTTAATCCTTTTGCAGTTACATGTATCCCCTATTGTAAGGTGTACTACTGTAATCTGATTGATTGCTTGTTTCGGTTCAGTAAATGAGGATGTTTATATAGTGAGTCCACCTGAGGGGACATTTTCCAAGTAAAGAAGGCCTCTTGACACATAACATATTCAATAATAACCCATACTGAATCCCTGGCAGCTTTCTGTGTTGTGAAAAACGGCATGTCTCTATAGTGTGAATTGTTGAGAACGGAAAAAATAAGACATTATCTAATAGAAGTGACTCAGCTTAAAGGAAAAATTGGAAACGCATTTTCTCTCTACTTTCTCAACAAAAAAAGGAAGTATGAATGTTGAGTGGCGCTGGGAGTAAGTAGCAGTCAATGTGTGCCACCGACCGTGCAGACGACATTTCTGAGTTCCTGTTTTTTTGGGTGATGACTGGAGTTCTGCTCTCCGATACCCGAGGCAGTGTCCAGGACGGCTTTTTTTTTTTTGTCCGTGTGAAACTAGCAAGCTTCCTGCTGTGGCTGGCTGGCTGCCAAGTCCCCAAACACCCCTCTACCCAAACTCCAACTCCAAACCCCCTCCCTTCCTGAAAAGCGCTGAAACGTACAACGGAAATTTCCAGGGCCTGTCCTCCCGAGAGCGTGCCCCCACCCATCCAGTGACCCCCACCACCATCCAAACCCCTCCTCCCAACCTCCCTCCCTGTGGCCCCTGCTAACCTCCCCTGCCTTGAAACCAAAGGGGACAGAGAGCAGCTGGAAGGTGAAGTGCAGCTTGCCGGCGCTGAGCTGAAAAGTCCAGCCAGACACCTCTCGTGCGCCCTCCAGCTCCTTGTGTCTGAAATCTCCCTGAAAACACCACCTCCTTCACTTGAACCCAGAAGTGCTTAAGAGTGCCGCAGAGTACTCTTGTACGCCAGACATAAGCGGCGGAGAGACGGGGAGGCAAATGTGGAGAACTACTCTGTTTGACAAATCAATTGTCCTCCTGTGGTTAACAGTTGTTTTAAGTGTATGTACATCTCAAGCAGGGGCCTCTGACAGGGCCATTAAGATGCACAAATAGCTCTGACTTTAACACTATTAGGTACAGAAGAGGAAGAACAAGTCAGGGTAATCGATATTGCTCAAGCGAGAAAACCCCTGGCACATCTATTTCTTAGTTTTCAAGGCAAGAGTCATAAGGTGGATGTATTTAATCAGATAGTCTCTTTGAGATCTAGGTTTTTAAGAGAGACCTGATAGCAAGAAACTGTCAGACAGACATGCAACCAGCATAGAACACGTCTAAACCCAGACAAATCCATCACAGGACAAAATGAATTAAAACAATTATAAGAGCTCTAAAAAAAAACACCAGGTAGTACAACTTTCAAATCTAGCCTGAGGACATTTAGCAGTTTATTGCATTTAAAGGGTGCATTAAACCTGAAGTTAGTTCTGCAAAAAATGTTTACATATGGAATATCCATAGTTGGGAAATCATTGATTGGATCATGTACTGTAAGATTTAAAAGAGAGAAGAAAGGTGAAGTAGTTTGGAAGCTTTAGAACTGTATAGATGAATATCATTGGACTATTATTTCCATCAAACTCTGTGATGCAGAAATGATTACAGTGATGAGTATGAAATGCATAATTCGTGTTAAAGCTCAACACACTGCTAAGAACAGGGTTTAACTGGTCACCTCTGTATTTTCCAAACTGTACCTATTCCCCCCATGTTTTTGTGACTAATGGGGACAACTATTTCTTTAATTGGTCCAGTATTGAGGGCGTATGCTGCGGACGGCAGCTGCTAAACAGGCTCCAATGTAATCGCAACGTCCTCACCATCAATGTACGTCCACTGGATGTGCTTGTGTTTACAAGTGACAAGGTCAGATTGTTATTGTAAGTATCTGAGAACATTATGGAAAAAAACATTTCTCTTACATTTTGCTTTCTCT